CCAGCAGGTCGAGGCTGCGGTGGCCGGGAGCAGCCACTGTACTCCAGTCTGGGTGATGGAGTGAGACTCCAACTCAAAAACAAACAAACTATATATATGGGGGGGGGGCTAGAGAGTTGGGGCAGAGTTAACTGAGAGATAATATGAACATCAGTAACAGTACACATTTGTGTGAGGCTTGACAGTTGATTAGCTGCATTCTTAAGCATTTTCTCATTTATTCTTCCTAATAACCCAAATGAGATGGATATTTTTAGTTTCTTTTGCAGAAGAAAACAAGAATCGAAGAGGATAAATGACTTGCCTAAGATCTCTTAGATCCTTCTGGCAGGGCCTAGCCTGGACCTAGTTCTTCATGGACACAGTAGACCCCAATATCTGTTCCTTCTCCTTGGCTGTTGCTGGCAGATCTGTTGCTATGGTTTTCTTAGGAGTGGAAATCATGACACATGCAGAACCACCAGGAAACGAATGATCTTGTGACTGATGTGTTCCCAGAGACCAATAACAAAAGCCTGTAGCTCAGGTTTTAGAAGTGGCTGAGTTGGCAAAATCAAGATCTTTTGAAAATCTGCACCTGAGTGCGGTTCCTGACTTTGTGCCGTGGAAATCCTCACCAGTGGCCCCAGCCTCTTTGCAACCTCCATTCTCTCCCCAGGTGGCATCCAAGGCCCAGCTCTCCCCTGTGACCTCCAATGCTAAGACCAGAGCAGAGGAAGAGCCCTCTTCTCATCCCTTGCCCACCCTGGAGGGTGTTTCCTGGGGCTTGAGGGATGTGTTTCTGGTTCTGCCCATATTTCCAAGAAGATACAACAAACTGATGTATGAACAAGTCCCAGGGCAAGGAAGACATAGCAAGGGTAAGGCATTTAGATAGAATTTTTCAAAGTTAAGTGAGCACCAGAGTCATCTGGAGGGCTTGTTAAAAAGTCCTGTTCCAGGTTGGGCCCCATGGTTCACGCCTATAATCCCAGCACTTTGGGAGGCTGAGGTGAGAGAATTGCCTGAGCCTATGGGTTCAAGACCAGCCCGGGCAACTTGGTGAGACCTCATCTCTACAATTTAAAAAAAAAAGTGCTGTTCCTTGACCAGGCATGGTGGCTCAAGCCTGTAATCCCAGCACTTTGGGAGGCTGAGGCGAGAGGATTGCCTGAGTCCAGGAATTCGAGATCAGCCTGGGCAACTTGGTGAGACATCTTCTCTACAATAAATCAAAAAATTAGCCAGGTGTAGTAGCATGCACTACATACTTCGAAGGCTGAGGAGGAAGGATCACCTAAGCCCAGCAGGTAGAGGCTGTGGGGGCCGTGAGTGTGCCACTACACTCCAGGCTGGGCAACAGAGCGAGACTCTGACTAAAAAATAAAAAATCAAAACCAAAACCAAAAAGTGCTGTTCCCTAAGTTCAGTGTCTGATTTATTAGATCTGAGGGGGCCTGAGGATGCGCATTTATAACAAATTTCTGGGTGATGCAGCACATTTATAACAAATTTCTGGGTGATGCAGATGCTGCTGGTCCCAGGAGCAAGCTTTAATAGGGGAGTGGAGGCAAGGGCTTTAGTCTATGTCATGACCAGGGCACCCAGGCTGCCCCTCATCCCTTGGGCACCCCCTCCCCTCAACGGTAGCCCCCTCCTCACTGGTACATCTCCTGCCTGGCCTGCAGCTCCTCTTGTCGCTGTTTCTGGAGCTTGGGGTGCTGGTCTGCCCTGGAGAGCTTGGCTGTGGGAAGAGGGGAGTGGGTGGACAGGGAAAAGGAGACTCCCCCAACCTCTGGCTCCAGCCACTTTCTCCTCCACTACTGCCACCCCGACCAGGTCCTCTCCCTGCATAAATACAGTTTCTCCCATACTAGCACACAGGCCGCCCCACCCCAGCCCCCCAGACCCATCAGTCCCCTTCCTCTGGCCCCTACCAGCTCACTTCTCCACCCCATTGCTCTTCCCTCAATACCAGCCCCTTGTCCTGCCGCGTGCCCCTGCAGCCCCCGCCCGCCCCTGCCCTTCCCCTGCCTCTCACCTGCCCCCTCCCGCAGCACCAGGTTCCGGGTCCCCTCCAGCCACTGGTAGCAGGGGAAGCGGAGGGAGGCGCCCCCGGGTGGCGTGAGCTGGAACCAGCGGCAGAACCAGGCGTCCGGGTCCAGGGTCCCGAGCAGGCGGGGCAGCGCCGGAGGCACCTTGTGCACGCGCAGCAGCAGTACCTGGCCCACGTCCTGGGGGAGCGTCACCTCGAAGTCCTCCTCCTGGAGGGGAGGTTTAGTATGCGAGAGGCCCGACCCTCCTGCCTCCTCCACCCCCACCTCTACCCGCCACTCACAGCGCCCGCAGTGAACTCCTTGCCGAGATGGTCCAGAGGCAGTGGGGGGCTCTCTCCTCGGGTCCCCACGATGCTGACAAACACTTTGTCCCACGTGCCAGCCCCAAAGGCCTCCCCGGTGGACACTCTCACCCTGAACTTGGTCATGGTGCCAGCCCCGGTCTGGCTCTCAACTGCGTGCACGACTGCAGAGCTGTGTGGCTTATCCTTGGGGACATGCCCCGCCCACCCCGGCCAGGCCCTATTCAGGCAAAGCTGGTTATTGCCACCGACTCCGGGTGGGTACCCAGGGAGCTCTATCACCGCCCCCCCAAAAGTACCACAGATTCAGGGCAGGGACGGGCGGGGCCCAGAGGTTGGAACGTGGAACTGAGGGATGTGGAAGTGAGAAGGACGGGGCTGGCTGTGCTGGGGTAGGAAGGGCTTAGAGGAACAGGACCTTTCAGTGACAGTGCCAGTCAGAGAGGGTACCCCTTCCCCTTATTTGTTTGTTTGCCTTCTTAGCCTTAAAAACCTATACAGGACCCCCTCCCTACTTCCCACAACTCTTCTTGGACTACAATTATTTATTTCATTAAATAACGAATTTTCGAAAGAGCCAACTCTATGGCAGGTACTGTGTTAGATGCCGTGAAGACAGCCCAAGTAACATCTGGTCTTTGCCCTCACGGAGATTAAAAATCAAGTGTGAGAGAAAATAAATAAATAAACAAATACATAACACAATTTCAGATGATGATAAGTGCTATAAAGGAAATAAGACAGGCTGATGTGCGGGAAGTGGGGGCGGGGAGGAAGGCCCTCAGAGGCTCAGAGGAGGTGACCTGTGAGCTGAGATCTGAGAAAGGGTCTGTCTGGAGAAGAGAGTTTTGTGTAGAAGGAACTGTCCCTGCAAAGTCCCTGAAGTTTGGAAGAGGTTGGCTTGTTGGAGGAGGGAAAAGCAGGAATGCAGTGTGGGAAGGAAAGAGAGAGATGTCAAGGAGAAGTGATGGATTTCGGCTTTGGGGGAGTAACTGATTTGGCAGTTCCGGTCTGGAAATGCTATGTTTGAGAGGGCCATTAGACATTCAAGTGGAGAAACTACATCTAGGCATAGAGCTCAGGGTTAAAGGGTGTATACCTTGGAGTCACCAGTTTAGTCACAGGTGTGTCTGAGCCACAGGCTGGCAGAGATCATGATGCAGAGAATGCACTATAGATGGGGAAAAGAAGAGGAAACAGGCCGTGCCCTGAGGTTCTCTGATATTTGGAAATCATGCAAAGGAGGTAGAAGCAATAAAGATTAGTCAGTGAGACAGGAGAACTGGGAGAGGGTGTTCCATGAAAGCCAGGAAGAGATTTGTCAATGGCGTTACCCTTGGGAAGAGGCTGAACAAGAGGAAGTCTGTGTAACCACTAGATCTACCCACAGGGAGATCTTTGAATTTATGCTCCCAACTGATGAGCATAGTTGAGGGAATCAACTCATTTCTCTGCAACCACACACAGCAGAACCCCATCATCAGCCTGATGACCTTGTCCAGAGCAGTTTCAGTGGTGCCATGGGGGTGGAAGCCAGATTGGAGTGGGTTCAAGAGTGACTGGGGATAGAATTCCAGCTAAACACACGCATATGCCTCACTCTGTCCTCTTGAAATTCCATTAGAGTACCAGTCTCAAAACCTACAAGGACAAGAAATTGAGTGTGGAGATGACAGCAACTGATTTAACAAGCAGGAGAAAAATGAAAGCCCAGAAGTAGATCAGTTCCCACATCAAAGCCCCCAAAGTCTTAGGAAATGGGAAATAGATGCCTCTGAGAGTGGGATGCAGGCGACACTGAAAACAGAATGCCATCAGATGGAAGTTTTTATTAGATGCAGTTAGGACCTCCACACTCCACCATACCCTTCTGCACCTCACACAACAAGCAGAAGAGGACCCTTCCCCAACCTCGCAGATAGTGAGAGAACCATTTTCTAGAGAGATTGAACTAGAGGAAGTCTAGACTGGAGGACACCAGCTCGAGCTGAGCATGGACACCAAACTTAAAACTGGAGAATCATGTGAAAGTCTGCACATTGGCCAGGCGCGGTGCCTCACACCTGTAATCCCAGCTCTTTGGGAGGTGGAGGCAAGAGGATTGCCTGAGCCCAGCGGTTCGAGACCCGCCTGGGCAACTCGGTGAGACCTCATCTCTACAATAAATCAAAAAGTTAGTCGGGCGTGGTAGCGCACACCTGTAGTTCCAGCTACTTCGAAGGCTGAGGTGGAAAGATCGCCAGAGCCCAACAGGTCGAGGCTGCAATGGCTGGGAGTGGCCATTGCACTTCAGTCTGGGCGACAGAGTAAGACTCCAACGCAAAAAAAAAAAAAATATTTTGCCCAAACCATCTATTAATTATTATCCTTTGCTAGGTCAAATTTTAGACTTATAATGTGAATTATATGCAATGAAAGGGAATCTGGGATCAAAGGTGAGTTCCTTTCATGAGGAGCAATTCTTCCTACAGTGATTCTCAATCCTGGCTTCACATTGGAACTACTAGGGGCATTTGTAAAAGCAATGCCCAGGTCCCTCCCCAGACTCTGGGGATTAGACCCATGTATTAGCATTTTTTTCTTTTTTGGGGGGTTGGAGTCTCACTCTGTCGCCCAGGCTGGAGTGCAGTGGCACGCTCCCGGCCACACAGCCTCAACCTGTTGGGCTCAGGCGATCCTTCCACCTCAGCCTTTCAAGTAGCTGGAACCACAGGCATGCGCCACCATGCCTGGCTAATTTTTTTATTGATTGTAGAGATGAGGTTTTGCCAAGCTGTCCAGGCTGGCCTCAAACCCAAGGACTCAGGCAGTCCTCCCAATTCGGCCTCCCAAAGTGCTGGGATTATAGGCATGAGCCACCTCACCCAGCCAGTATTAGCACTTTTTAATGCTTCCCAGGTGATTCCAGTGTGCATCCACCATTTAGAACCTCAGCCTCTTAAGTGTTTTTATGTGTTCTTGGAAATGAGGGAAATAAGTTGATGTAGGAGGAAGAAGAGCCAATTTAAAAGTAAAAACTTGAGAAAAATCAAAGGGGCATGCCCAGAGCCTCAGTGGAGATACTGGCAACAAGTAGGACGTAAGCTCAAGCAACATAAAATTCCAACTCAAACTGACTTTGGCAATATAGTTAGCTAGCATAATGAAAGTATCAGATGGGATGTGTGACAGGCACAATAAGTTACCCTCCCTAATGTCCATTCTCCCTTCTACCTCCCTAATCAAACCAAAATTTGGTTCTGGACAGGAAGGTGGCCAGCCCTGGGTGCTGAATCGTGTCTGTGTTACAGACTGAAAAGAGGACATTTTCATTATATTAGGACAGTCATTTAGAAAATACTCAAAAACTTGTATCCTTTTGTAGCCAAGTTGGGCTAAAGGTGAAAACCATTTGAATTTAAAAGTGCCCATTCATGGCCAGGCACAGTGGCTCACGCCTACAATCCCAGCATTCTGGGAGGCCGAGGTGAGAGGACTGCCAGAGCTCACAAGTTCCAGACCAGTCTGGGCAACTTGGTGAGACCCCATCTCTACAATAAATAAATAAATAGCTGGGCATGGTGGCATGTACCTCTAGTTCCAGCTACTTGGAAGGCTGGAGTGGAAGGATCACCTGAGCCCAGTAGGTCGAGGCTGCTGTGGCCATGAGCGTGCGTGCCATTGCACTCCAGCCTGGGCGGCAAAGTGAGACTCCAACTTCAAAACAAAGCAAAAAGTGCACATTCTCTCTTTCTTCTCCTTGCTGCCCTCAACTCCCTCCTTGTCCTTTCCTAGTATAACCTTGCCTGACTGGGCTAGAAGGCCAGTTTTACTAGGAAATCATTGCTGCTGCTGAGGAAGAAACTGACAGGCAAGCCAGACCACTCAATAATTAGGATAGCAATCCAAGTTCGACAGGAGTGTATTTGAAAGCCTAATGTGGTCATTGTCCACCTCCCCTCCACCTGTGAATATGAGGATATTGGACTATTAAAGGTTCTGGGGCTAGAAGATTGTTATAATTAAATTTAAAACAATTTAAAACCATCATTTTAAATATTATAACTTTCTTTTTCTTTCAAATGTTGCAATTGTCTGCCCCTTTCTGTAAAGAACATATAAAGAACATGTTGTAAATGACAAAATGTTGTCTAAAATGTCAGCATGACCAGGAAACTCTAAATCATGTCACTGGTCATGCATCAAAAATCATTAATGTAAATCTTGAATCATGTTAAAACTGCATGGAGGTTTTGAACTTGGGGTGAGTAAAGGGCTATGAATTTTGGATATAAATACTGAAATGAATTTGCGTTACTTTGAGTGGATTTTTTGGGTAAGGATGCCAACCCATCTCCCTATAATCTGGTTATAGAAATTAAACATTCCCTCTTTTCCCACTCTTTGCCTCTCGTCTTTCGCCATGAGAGACAGCAGCCAATTGTTGCTTGGACCATTTCTTTTTTTTTTTAGTTGGAGTCTCACTCTGTCACCCAGACTGGAGTGCAGTGGCCGCTCCTGGCCACCGCAGCCTTGACCTGCTGGGCTCCGGCAATCCTCCCGCCTCAGCCTTCCAAGCAGCCAGAATTACAGGCATGCGCTACCACGCCTGACTGATTTTTTGATTTATTGTGGAGATGAGGTCTCGCTGCCCAGGCGGGTCTCGAACCCGCAGGCTCAGGCAATTCACTCACCTCAGCCTCCCAAAGGCGCGGGATTACAGGCTGAGCCACCGAGCCCGGCTGCTTGGACCATTTCATTTGGTCTCAGCAGAGTGTGACAATTCTATTCTCTGCCTCTCCAACCTGTGGTTACAACATAGCTGCCCCAGAGATGACCAAGGGCCTGATGTCTTTCTGCCTCCTCTGCCTTCTGCAGAGCTGCCTTCATCCTCGGGCTCTGCTCTGGTCTGTGGATCTGGAGGCAGTTCCAGACCTCATGTCTTCACAGCACACCATTCAGGAGAAGAAAGGGAGTTTCTTCTAGCAGTACCTGCAGAAGAGAGTTGATGCTTCTTTTTTCCAAAACTCTAATGTCTTCTCCCCACGTCATTTTTCATTGACTGACATGGGTTACACTATGATCCCTGAACTGATGAATGTGGCCAAGAGCATGGAATTCACTGGGTGACTTAAGCCAACCATGGTGTATCCCTTGAATCAGGGATGGGGTCAGTCCCACCCAAATC